CTTAGATTAATCTGAACACAATTGTATTTAATAGAGTTTAAGCCTGCTCTGTATATCATTTTACTGTTATATTTTTAACAGGCCTGTGTTACCAAGAGAGAATCAAATGTGCGTTGTTTCTGATTTGCAGAGACTCCTTCTATCTTTGCTTGCTGAACAGCGGGACCAGCTTTATATCTGGCTTTGCCATTTTCTCAATTCTGGGCTACATGTCCCAAAAACAGGGTGTCGACGTTTCTTTAGTTGCTGAGTCAAGTATGAATGTGAATCTCCTCTGTTCCTATTAAAAATACCTCAAACTGTCAGACTATATGAAGTTACTTCATTATTAAAATGTTCAGTTTTATCTTTTACTATTTTTCTGCTAGTAAGGAACAAGCACAATATATACATTATAAGCATTGACGTTGATGCCAAACATTGCCACAAAAAGACACTGTGCAGACAGCAATGGCTTACTTTTTGTTGGTTTCCCTTTGCAGGCCCTGGCCTTGTGTTCATAGTCTACCCACAAGCAGTGACCCTTCTGCCGTGGCCCCAGGTCTGGTCTGTGTGCTTCTTCATCATGATCATCTTGTTAGGAATAGACGGATAGGTCAGCTGCAGCCTTCTTTACGTCTCCCAAAAATGTCCTCCAATGTTTCTTCTTTTGTTCACTGCTCTCCAAGCTGACTTGTCTTTCTGTTGTTTTCTAGTTTATTGGGCTTGAAAGCTTCATGACTTCTCTCTCAGATGTCTACCCTTCCCAGATCCGAAAAGGATTTCGCAGAGAGCTTCTTCTGATGCTAATCTGTGTTTTTGGCTATATGGTTGGCCTCTTGTTGGTGTCACAGGTGAGAAGCGCACTCATTGGTGGTCACGTAAGCAATTCATCATGAGAGAGTAATTTGCTGTCTGATCAATTAACAACCAATACACAGCATGTAAAACTTGTTTCTTAATACCAGCCGCACCACTGGTATTGTTTTCACCTGTTTGTGTGTGTGTTTGTGTGTGTGTGTGTCATCATGGCAAAATGTAGTGAGGCGGTTTTGAATTCTTTGCAAGGTGTTTATTGCCCCTCCCCCTCCTCTAGTTTAGGACTGAGATCAGTGGGAGCTGTTTAATTAGCACCAAATAAAAGACAATTGGTATCCAGACCAATTTATTGCCTGCTTTAATTTTAGGGTGGCGCATACATTCTGCAGATCTTCGATCACTATGTTTGCAGTGGTCCCACTCTACTTCTGATGGCAATCTTCCAGTCAGTGGTTATTGGATGAATTTATGGTAAGAAACAGTTGTCAGTGGTGCAGCTGTCTTTGGTTTTTATATGTTACATCACACTGAGTGTACAATCTTTTAACCAATGTCTCAATTCCATACTATGTATTTTTATAAAAGCTTTGAATATATAATGCTCTTGCCCTGTAAAAGGGGCTAAATTAAGCATAAAGTGAAATTGAATATAATGCGTATTGTTATGTGTGATGTGTTTGTCTCTGTCCAAGGTGCTGACCGCTTCTGTGACAACATTGAGGACATGATCGGGTACAGACCTCTAACACTGATCAAGTACTGCTGGTTGTATGGAACCCCTCTTATTTGCAGTGTAGGTGTTTTAAGAAAGCCAAAAAGATATTTTACTCTGTGTATAGACTATTTCTTAGCTACAGCTTGGGTTCATGTTTACTTCCTGTCAGATCATGTCATTCACATACACTACCACAGGAAGTAAACTGGGACACATTTGGTATGTTTACATTTACAACTATGGGATGGTTCATTGAAATTAGCTTTCCGATTGATCCAACAATGTTTAATTGTGAGTTGTTTCCTTTTAAAGGCCACACTTGTGTTTTTGCTCCTGAGATACACCCCCCTGAAGTTCAACAACTCCTATGTGTATCCTTGGTGGGCGTACTGTATCGGTTGGTTTCTGGCCATGTCATCTCTTATGATGATTCCAGTGACCATGGTCTGGATACTGGCCAAAGTAAAAGGGACTCTCTGGCAGGTCAGTGGTGGTTGTCAGTGTTATTTTATAGTTGGTAGTTTACAGATTTGAAGCATTTGGTTTCTTTTTGGAATTCTTTATATTGGGACAGGAGTTTGAAATAGAAAACATGTCAGGACAAAGGCAATTTTATGTCCTCTGCTGTTCACAGATTTTTTTCAAAACTGAGTAACGTTGTACTTTTTGGGAGAGGTAAAGTGTTTTTGTTGCTTGTGCATAGTGCATGTTCTGCTGCAAGTGCTCTTCTTTGACAATGTTAATTCCTTCCTGTAGCGTCTCAAGATGACCTCCCATCCTGCAGGTGACTTTCCAGTGGTGACAAAGGAAATTGCAAGCTTAAGTGCCTCACTACACGCCCCGGATGCTGGACAAGACGGCAAGGTGTAATGAAATGCCAATCCTTTTGATTATGGTTGGAGCAGGTTATGGTGGTTAGAATTCATTTACATATTTTTTGTTGTAAGGTGTGGTTAAGGTTTACAGTACATTATATGTCTAATGTAAATAGGGGTGACCCCGCATAGTCGACTATTTGATCAAGGAGCCTAATTTGACTGCCAATCTCATGGTCGAATCGTTGTAGTGACTGGAAAAGGTGGCACTGAAACGAAGGATCATTTTTAAATAACAACATGGCTGTTTCAAAATCAAAGAATAGGCCTACATGTATTAATCAGAGCACTCGCATAAGAAAGTAGCACTATCACTATTTTGAATGATTCTCTCAAAGTCAACAAGGTGAGGCGGTAGAAAGTGCTGTTTGCGGCACATGTAACAGCTGTTTACAGCTTGCAGCTCTCTCTCCCGACTTGGAATTAGCCCCGAAAGTTTTATTTACAACCACGAAAAGCGGGATGTCTATTTATTTCTTGGGGTGTGGGGCGTTTTTCTCTTATTTGATGGTGATACTCAGGAACGGAGGAGAGAGAGAAGGGACGACATACAGCAAAGCCGACACAAACCTCATGGACTCATGTGAAATAACCAATATTGTTCCATATTTTTTATATCCCTATCAATGATGCTGTCGTGTCTGCCCGGTTTATGTGAAACCAATTAGCCTAGCTTAGCATAAAAACCGTAAACAGGGAAACCAAAAGGTTAAAAAAAAAGCCCATTACCTCTTAAAGCACACTAATTAACACATTGTATGCTGTTTTCTTAATATATACCAAAAGTAAAGTGGTATATGTATTGGTCAGGTGCAGTGTCTTCCTGGTGAAATAATGTTTAGATCTTTTAATTTAGTCAAAGTGCTAATACCACACTGTGATAGCTCTTTGAAAACTTACTTAAGTAATAGTATTTATGTATCATCAAAATCAATTAAAAGTACTTCAAATATAAGTACTTATTGTGCAGTAAAATGTCCCCTGTCAGTGTTTGACTTTTCAGTTTTTGGATCAATTTTACTGCTGCAATACATGTTTTACTGCCGTGGAAGTGCTAATTTTAATTACATTCTATCACTGAGTCACTTTAAGGTTACCAGACAACCAATTTAGAGTTAATTAGTGATCTAAGGGATTATTAGTATTATTGGTCTTTTTTTATTTATTAACTTTTACCTCGAGACAGAGCCAGGGTACCTGTTTGCTCTTGCTTATATGCTAAGCTAAGAGAGTGGTATCAATCTTCTCATCTTGTCATTCAAGCGAATAAGCATATATCCCATATTATCAAACTATTTGACCTGAAACAGAAAAGTATGCTTCATGGTTATGATTTTTTTTTTTGTTTTAGCGACACATGGAAGTTATTGATTGTCTTCAGGATCAGGATGTGTGGCAAAACAATCTCAGCTCAAAGATGTAGTAATTATATTGATGCAATAGCTCAAGTAATTGGACTCGGTTTAGTTACACAGATAAGTTGGTTTAAATTTATACAACCACCTCTTGTGTACACGTTTTCAATGCTTTGTTCAGGTCAGACACATAACTGTTCTGCCCCTTTGTTCTCCTGTTTTTCTAACTGAACTGGCCTGATCAGCAGTGACTCTTTTATCTTTACAGACCAAGTCATTCATGCGTTTCCATCTGTGAAATTCTCTCAAGGTCCTGACACTACAGCACCAATACTCTCAATGATTTCTCAGGCAGAAGTCAATTTTCTTACCGTTCTGACCTCAAACTTAAACCAACTGTAACAATCAAATACACTGGAATGGGGATTTTTAATTACCCACATTTTCTTTCTGACCGATATTGACTTATGATATATTGGTGCTTTTACTTTGTCTAATAATTTTTACATTTAATGTATCTTTTACAACATATATTAAGCCAAATAAATATACCTCCTTGAAGCCATCAAACTACATGTTAAAATGCGTGCTGCTTGAATTTATAATGCAAATCTCAGTGCCTCAACAAAACTTTTATTTTTAGGTTTGTATTTATTTAATCACCATATTGGGTTTTTTTAAAATATATACTTGTCTTTGTTCAATACTTTACATTTATATAATAAAATACTTTTTAGGGCAATATTGCTTGTTCATTTTCATTATGTTTACATGTGCGTGAGGTGTTTGTACTAAAATAAAGACTTTTTCTACTCTTCGATGAAGACAGTGATACATTTTTTGACTGAATTTGCTTGACATTCACATTTGATGCGAAAACTACACCACGTCGCTCTGAAACCAATTATTAATTGTTGTGCTACACCTCGACAGCTTTTTGCTGCGTCGAGCTAAAGGGTGTCAGATTACGCGTACACTGGGTTGTGGTGCGGCGAATACTATTAGGAAATAATGAGTTTCAGAGTGCAGTGGTGCTGTTGTCACGTTCTGTCTGGAAGGGGCTTTACAATTGTCTTTTTAAGTTTTTAAAAACCAAATGTTTCAGTATTATATTTAACAGCAGCCATCAAGCATTATAGAGAATAAGCAATTATTTTGTCTAAATCTCTTTATTCCACAACTATCGATAAATGTGTTCTTTGATAATTGTTCAGTCTATAAAACATTAGAAAACTCAGGAAAATTCTAAGTCACATCTTAAAATAACTTTTTTTAATCCAATCAAGCCCAAAAGATATTCATTTTACTGTGAACACTAAGAAAAGCAGCAAATTCTCATATTTATTAACCTCAACCAATTTTGGGGCTTTTTTTTGCTTTAAATTGACATTGATATGTAACTAGCTCTGAACTTTTGTCTGTTTCTCCACGTTTCAGTCGGTACAAATGAAACAACGCCATGGATTGACCATTTCCATACTAGGCTAGCCTCATACAATTAAAAAAACATGACATCAAAACATTTAACAAACATTTATTGAATAAAAAAAAAAAAAATCAGTGTAAAAAAAATCTGTATTTGTTTATTTACTTTTGATGATTTTTATGTCATCGACTGGCCGATCTTGACCGTTTGTTTCTACCATCCCAATTCGGTTCAGCACTCCCATTCCCTGGGCTACTCTTCCAAAAATAGTGTGCTTTCCATCTAACCACTGAGTGGGGCCGAGGGTGAAGAAGAACTGGCTCCCGTTTGTGTCTGGTCCTGAATTGGCCATCGCCAAAATACCAGCACCTAATAGACACACAAATGAAATCAAAGAAATTACAATTTTGTGACCTTTTGCTGTTAAACGTAGTATCACACAAATAATAAATGTCAGGAATCTGAAACAATAAATTGGTCCATTTAATCAGATTTCAAATAAAGAATTTCTTGAGGCAAAACCACAACTTTTGCTCACATTTGGTACATCGACTTTAATAAATGTGTTAATTATTTTTATCATTAATTATGATTTGCTTGGATGTACCTCGCTAACTAATTCAGTTTAATACAACAGCCCTGCAACAATCCCTACCTTAATTAGTTAAAAAATAACATCAAGGACTCAGATACTAATTCATGACTTAATTAATTATAAAGGGTGCAGGAGCCTTTTCTTTATTTGCCAGCCTATATTTGCCTCCTCCACATCTACCACCTTGTATTTAATTAAGATTGTTCCACTGCAATTACCTGTGAATTTCAGTTCTGGGTGCAGCTCATCTTCAAACTGTTTACCAAATATGGAGGCACCACCACGACCTGTTGGAAGAACAAAGATCAGTAAAACACAGATTTATTATCAAGTGAGGTAACGGAACAAGACCACATTCAAGTATGAACATTTAACTGCGAGTTTCAACTTGTCTCGTGTATATTTCACACTCTTTATTTTGCCAAAGAGATGAAGTTCAGATTAATAATGGGTTTTCAGGGTGACAAGCTTTACAAAGTAAAGTGAATGTGATTGATACGTTGACAAACATATGATGAGGAGTTACTACATATGGTGTAAGACATAGTATGTAATACAGTAACAGTTGAACAACAAATGTTAAATAGACACAGAAATAAAAATACAGTTAAAAGAATGCTCATAAATAAAACGTGGTGGTTTGATCCTCGATACACAGGGCCTACTGATAACTGCTGTAGGCCCCTACGGTGGGCCCCAACTGCCTGATAAAACCCCCCCCCCCCCACACTCACACACACACACACACACACATGATTGAACACAAGGCTCACAAAAGGTACAGAGGTTTGATTGAGACACAAGTCAATAGATGCACTACATATCCAAAATATTATGTCGACGCTTGAAGATTGCACACATAAGAAACACGGCTGCATCAGTGGCCCACCTCAAACAGGTTAAACCGTTCTCTGTGCAGGCCAGTCTACTTCTTTCAGACTTGTAACACAATTTGTATATTTCTTTAAGTTTCACTTCGAAATGAGAAAGGACCTTCCCAAAACTGGTGCTATAAATTTGGAGCCACACTATTATAAACAAATATCGTTATTTCATTGTAAGAACTATGTTATTTAGTACAAATTTAAGGAAAACCAGAGACTACGTTTTTGAACAGTAGTTGATTTCTAGAGAAACTTCCTTGGTGCTCCAACATTCATTTAAAAAAAACAAGAAATTCTCCATATATAGTATGTTGAATTGTAAGTTTGCCTGTGAATGTCACAATAATAATTGAACACTTTGACCTATGACCCTAGTGCCAGTTTGTAGTTAATCATCAGTAAACAGTAAACTATCGCTAGCCCAAACCTTGAAAAACAGACCAAAATAACACAAAAAGTACGTGGACACCCCACTGTCTGGATAATAGTGTTTCTGATTAACCCACCTGTTCCTGTAGGGTCTCCTCCCTGCACCATGAAGTCTTTGATTGTTCGGTGAAACTTCGTGTTGATGTAGTAGCCTCTTCTGGCCAGCTCTGCGAAGTTCTTGCAGGTTTTTGGCGCATGTCTCCAGTACAGCTCCACCACAATCGGTCCCATCCTGCAATGCATGCTCAGTGTTAGTAGTTATGTATTTAGCGTATTTCAACGGCACAGGCAAACCCTGACGGTGTGTTAAGGATTACCCCAAAGCCCTACAATCTGTTTTAGTATCAAGCCCAACGCTTCACTAACATCACCAAACCGCCAATGTTACTGAGAGCTAGCTTAGCTGAGCTAGCATTCAGCGGTTTTAACTTACGTCGTGTCCAAAACCACTGTTGGCGGCTGCCATGTGTCTGCAGGTATCCCCGACATTATCACTCCAAAACAGTATCCTTCGATAGACTTTAAACAAACGTATTTGAATAAAAAGTACGTGATTTATCAGACTAGCACGTTCTTTCGATTCATTTCAGGTGGAGCTTCTTCTTCTGTGGTTGTCGTTCCTCTGCATGTGAGTGGTAGGAAGTCGGCATCAGTTTACCGCCCTCTAGTGAACACAATACGGCAGTTGGCATCTTTGACGTGGCATCCAACACACAATACGATTACAATAATATTAATGTCCTTTTTTACTGTCGTGTAATTAGTCCAGTATTTTTTTTTTTAACTTCATTACATTAGCCTCCACTCGCCCTGTTTTTGTTCTATTTTAGTCTTTATAAGTAGTCCCCCTATTTCTTAACATAACTCCTATATTTTGGATTGAGTGTAGATGTATTTTGTTGTGTTATCCCATAATCTCAGCGCTCTATCCAACCTAAAAAATACATCCACTCAGTCTACATTTCACCGTGGGACGTTTTGTTCATCTGATGCAGTTCACATTATAAACTACAGGGGGCAGCAACACACCGGAACAGCGTCAAGCGTGACAAATATATAAATTGAGAAGAAGAAATTCTTCTTCTTTGACTTCACATGTAAATTGCTTGTACACTTGTACACCGCTTTGAACGCCGTCTTCGACTTTTCAACCGAGTTGTACCAGTTTGTCTACAGTTGAAAACAAGGTAAAGTCACCTATTTGCGTTTTCTGCACCCTTGCTATCATATTTAATTAGTTTGGTTCTCTTTAAGGGCGTAGTGTGTCAACAGGCTTATTTTAGGTTTATATAATATCTACAGTTGTGATCCTACTTTAACTTTTCAGAAATTCAGATTTCATAGCAAAGACTTGAGACTTACTTGCAAAATGTTGACAGTGTTCACGGCTGTACGTCTATCTTGACATAAAGTGTAACTGTTGATAGGCCTACTCTAAGGTAGCGCTGAATGAGCAAATATTCATTATTAATTGATCTGTTGATTATTCTCTCGATTAAAGCTAGTGAAAAAGTATATTAGAGTTTTAGTACACAAATTCAAATGTCTTGTTTTGTCAGTTAAAAACCTACATACATGTATTTTTAATTTAATATCATATAAGAGAAGGAAAAGCAGGAAGTCTTCACGTATGGGACGCTGGAACTATTAAAAGTGTCATTTTCATTTCATACAATGACAAACAATTAATAGATTATGAATAAATAATAGATTATCAACATAGCTATAGTTCATTTTTAAATCATCTAATCGTTTCAGCTCTATTTATCAGTCTATTTTTAAAAGAATGAAAGGGAAATGTGTTCCTATCAAATTCAGTCGCCACTGAGTTTATCTGAACAGTTAATGGTTTGATTAACTTGTCTTTGATCTGAAGTGAATTAAGTTAATCTATTTGCTCCCGAGTTAGATTAGCCCTGTCTTGTCTGCATCAGCAGTTTTATGGTATACATTTTATTGTAATCAAAATATCATTATGACTCCATGCTAGATATTAAATTTACATTTTACTGCAGCAACACAGGTTAGTTGTAGCTGCCAGCTTAACCGAGACCGATGCAGCAATTTCTACATCCTCACTGCCATGTGATTAATCAGATGAGAAGGTCTAATTCAATTAGGAAGATAGCATGCCTGTTAGCACTCCTAAGCTTGCAGCTAGGTCAGGGTATTTTTGTGAGTAAGCCACAAGGATGAAAGAGAGTAAAAGAGGTGTGCCAGTAGTGACAGAACAATAGACCTCTAGACAGCGTTGAGTTTTAACTTGCGTTATTCTTTTTTTGTCAGAGGATCGTCAGAGATCAGACCGTAACAAGTTCATCTTTTTTGTCTCATCTCAAGTTCCTACACCATGTCAATTGTCAAGATCCACGCCCGAGAGATCTTTGATTCTCGTGGAAACCCCACCGTAGAGGTGGACCTTCACACTAACAGAGGTAGGCAACAACATGACTTATTATACAATGTATAAAGGTATTGCCCATGTGCCTCTATAATAATATTTCTTACATCATATTTAGTGACAGTCATGTCACCACTTGTGTGTCCTCTCTCTGCTCCCATGTACATTTCACAGGCTTGTTTAGGGCAGCTGTACCCAGCGGAGCGTCTACTGGGATCTACGAAGCCCTGGAGCTCAGGGACAATGACAAGTCTCGCTACCTTGGAAAAGGTGTGTCTGCCATTTTAGTGTTTTATTCTTAATAAGATAAAAGTTGTTAAATGACAGGTGTGGTTTTGATATTTACCACCAAATATAAACGACCCTTATTGCCTTTGCAGTTCAAAGCAAATTAAATTTCAAGGAAAAAAACTATTTTATACATTTGTCATTTTCTCTGTCTTTCTGTGTTGTCTCTCTTTGCCAGATGTGAAAGGGTTAGTGAGTTTCCATTGCCTGTCCCTCTCAATTATAAATTCAAATTTGTCCATTTGACGGAAGAGAAAAATGAATGACATGGTCATTTACACAACAACATGACAACTCATCATTGAATGCTTTTGGCAATCAACCAGATCTGATGTGCGTGGTGATTTGTCAATAAAGCATGCTCTCAATGCAGAAGTTTGTTTATCTAAAACAAATTCTAAAAGAAACACTGTTGCATGTGTCTCTGTAAATGTGAAATAAAACTTGCATGTGCTTCTAAACCTATGTTTGTGTTATTGGCTTTACAATAATTGCCCATAATTCTGTGAAAGAATGATCACACTAATATTTCTGCTGCAGGAGTCTCACAGGCTGTAGAACACATCAATTCAACTATTGCACCTGCGCTTGTTGGCCAAGTAAGAAGATAATTCTCCCTCTCTGTCTGTGTTTTGTTTCCCAAATCTTGTACAAACTAAGTTTTCATTGTTGTGTTGATTTTGTCTCCTCAGGATGTATCTGTGGTTGAGCAGGAGAGAATTGATCAGATGATGATTGATTTGGACGGCACAGAGAACAAATGTAAGTGACAATAATCACACTGGTGTGTTTAATCTAAAGCAACCATACACATTGCAATGCAGTCTTCATAACTATCTGGATTACGGCAGATTTCTGTTCAGGGTCTAAAATACATTTTTTTTCACTACGTCCAGCTGTGACAGGAAAGCTTTTTTTTGCCACTCAAAAATGTTATCTGCCACTTTTGAAATCAATGCACTAAATGAAGGAGTAAAATTCACATAATTTAATGTATCAAATGCTGGAATTCAATGTTTGATCTATTTACACAAAAACATTACATGCATGGTAAATTCCAGTATACAAATTACATCGTGACTTTAAGTTTAAAAAAAAAACAACACAAACTAAACTTTTTTTCTTTTTTGGGGTCGGAGGGTACTATACACATGCATGTGCATACATGAACGCGCCTGTCTCCATACAAAAATACAGTATAAATTTTACTTCATACAGAGAATATTAAGCCTGGGTCAACAAAGAAACAGAAAACAATATTAACCTTTTATAATGTTTTTGAAGCAAGACACAGGAAGTTAACCTTCTTGTGGAGCTGCAGTGTTTATTCATGGACAAACTGAAACCTACACAGTTCCACTTGACAGCCTTACTGCTAATTTATTCTCCACTCCGATTGCCAACAGCTATTCCTCCAGACGATATTGATACACGAGGTTGAAACAGTACCGAGTGGGTGTGTATGTTTGTGTGCATCTTTTAATATATGGTTATTGATTAGAAATTGTTGTCAAAACAGGTAAGATTCAACAGCCAATAAATTTGCTTTCATATAGCGGTTGCAAGCAACTTTCAAATGTGTATCTATCCAATCATACCCTAACTTTACGAAGTGTGTTTTTGCAGATTTGATCCACCACTGCTTAAAACTGACCTGCATTTGGTGGTTGCATTAACAAATAAAACACCTGCTCTGATGAATTGAGTTCAAATAAACACTCAAAATAGATAAAAATAGATTAAAATAAGGATTAATAATTGTTGATGTTTTTCTATTCTCAAACAGCCAAATTTGGAGCGAATGCCATCCTGGGTGTTTCCCTGGCTGTTTGCAAAGCTGGTGCAGCAGAGAAAGGTGTCCCCCTGTATCGTCATATTGCTGACCTAGCAGGAAACTCGGAGGTCATCTTGCCTGTGCCGGTGAGGTTCTGTGTGCCAAATTGCATGCGTCAATAACCGTTTTTTTTTTATTTCCGCATTATTCAGTTCCCCTTCCAGTTCATTGTGAAGTCACAGCTCTTGTCTTTCCCCCCCCCCCCCCACCAGGCCTTCAATGTGATCAACGGTGGCTCCCATGCAGGCAACAAGCTCGCCATGCAGGAGTTCATGATCCTGCCCATTGGCGCGAGCACCTTCAAAGAAGCCATGCGCATTGGAGCCGAGGTCTACCACAATCTCAAAAACGTCATCAAGAAGAAATACGGCCAGGATGCCACCAATGTCGGGGATGAAGGTGGCTTTGCTCCAAACATCCTGGAGAACCAGGAAGGTATGCAAGAGGAATGCTGATAAATCAAAGTCTCTTACAACTGCAAAATTAGCGCAGCTTTCAGGTTCCTTTCGGAAAAAAAAAACTTGCTCAGTGTGAAGTCGGACTACTTTTATCACATAAAAACCACTGTAAATGGTGCATAAATTATGCACACGGTTCTACTTACTGTGCAGCTGTAAGAGAAACCTTTACTTTATGTGTTGCACAGACCAAAGCTATTGTTGCACTTAGAGGAAACCGGCTATAAATAGTGGAGAAAATGTGGAAACAGGCTATTTTGTGAACCGGTGTGCCAACATCAACGAGCATGACTACCAGGAAAGTTCTACAAGTTGCTTGAACTCAAACAAAAACCTGTCTCGTGCATGGTAATACACCATTTACCGAGATACTCATCAGGGATTCCTCCCTGTGAAAGAAGTTATAATGTGTGACCCCCCTGTCTTCAAGTCTTCAAGTCTCCTGATTTTACTATTCAGCAAGTACAAGTTGTGCCATCTGACAATTTCTTTTATTAAGACTTTCTATGGTGCACTTTGAGAATGCAGTTGGTGGTGGTGTTGTAATTGGAGTGTGTTCTCTTGAAAGGCATTTCTAATATTTGGTCCTCTTCATTTACATACATGGTGGAGCAAAGATATTAGACCTTAGAAAATACTGCAAAACACATACAAGAT